CGTTGCGAGGAGCCACAAAGGCTGAGACACTGAGACACCCTCCTGGCGCGAACATGATTGCCAACAACAATTCCTTCTCAACGTTATTGGGCGGCGCACGATCGGGCAGTAGTGAGTGGCCAGGGGCTAAGCGCCGCCCAATTTTACTTAGACAAGGGGCCCACCGAATCGGGGACGGTCCGCCCATGTAGACACATGACCATTTCTAGTGTCCACGGTCGAGAGCCACTCAGGCTGGGTGGAGAGATTGAAACGTTCGCGGTGTCCGCGGCAACGCAATAGTGCACGACGTGGATATAATAGCAGGGAATAGATAGGTAAGGAATGTCCTCTCCCTCTCGGCTCTTCTCCCCTCCCCCCTCTTCAGAAAAAAAAAACAACTTTTATAGTGCTCTCTCGTCCGCAAACTTCCGTTTCATCAAATCGTAAGAGACCGCCTGAGGACGCCAGCCACCCCGTATCCCGGCCGAGGCAGTCGCGGAGGACCACGCCTCGACAGCAATCGCTTCGACCACCGGGCGCAGACGCCGGTCCCAATTTGCCGCAGAATCTCCCAGATCTCGCACCTCACCTCCTCCCAAAACGTATACTCGGCCTTCTCCATGAACTTGTATCCCTGGTTGAGAGACAGGAGCGCCTGGTCCAAGGTGGTGGCCTCCCGCACGACCGACTGCTGCGCGATCGAGTTGATGAACTTCTGGAACACGCCGTCGAGAGCCTGACAATCGCGCCAGAGTCGGACACAGAGAGAGATGTCGTGTGTGAAGGCGAGGACGGTGAACACGAGGACCTGAAGGAGGTGACGTCGGACTACTTCGATGACCGCCTGCCTCTGTGCCAGCTTCAGGTAGTTCTTGAGAGAGGTGCTGAGATCGTGGTCGGCCACGAGTTTGTGAACGGTCGCGAGTCCGAGAGCGGCCTCGGCATCGATGGAGCCATCGATGTTACGACCAGCCTCGAGGTTGGGAAGAGGGGCCTCAGCTTGAGAGCTCTGTGCCTGCCGTTGGATGCTGCGGCATCAAAAAGTTAGCAAGTGTTCCGCCCCCACGATACTAGCGAGCCTGAAAGAATCTCACATTTCTTGGTTGAGGGTCGATCTTGCCTCGTTGAGGGACTCGGTGTTCTTCCACGACAGCGACCACTGCGTGACGGCTAAGCCCCCAACGAAGGCTAAGGTCACGAAGACGCTGAGCGGAAACGACCAGACGCCGAGCCGTGACCACACAGCACAGCACACGCCGACGAGTACCGAGACCGAAACCTGAATACCCTTGGTGGCTGCGAACAGAAAGTTTCCGAGACCGTCCGACTTCCTGAGCGACTCCTTGACGAGGGCGAGACAACGCCTCCTCGATGTCTCCTCGCTCTTCTCCCCCACCCAGCCGAACACGTGTTCGAAAATGTGGGTGGTGAGGGCCGCCCCGACGGCCCGGACGTGGCGGCCGATGCCCAGCTCGACGAAGGAGTTGACGAGCTCCGAGACACCGACGGAGATGGCAAATTTTGCGTAGACGCTCAGGTTGAACTTTGGAAGGATATATGCCTGGAGCACCGCACTGACCGTGGCCAGTGAGAAGTACCATGCGATCCACCTGAGCTCCCATACAGTGTCCCTATCCAGGCGTTTGTCTTTTCCACGCAGCAGACGCAACGTCAAACGAAGCGCAGATGAGAAAAGGGAGAGGCGGTGACAGTAGAGATGGTAATGACGTAATATGCCGGAAGCTATCCCGGAGGGGAGAGTGTCTGTGCTGTCATTCTTGTTGACGGCATTACTGTTGGTGGCACTGTGCCATTTCGGGAGAAGAGGTGCGGCTTCGTTTATCATGGCCATCGATATGTATGGCCGGCTGGCTGGCTGGCTGGCTGATGGCACTGTCGGTATTAATCTGTCCAGCAGCAGTGCGACACGAATGAAACCAGCCGACACTCATACGACCGAGACGAAAGTAAGGACACAGCGACAAGAAGATGGAAGAATGAGATTCTCAGTCTGGCGAAAGAGCGCAACAAGTCAGCAAGAAGAAAGACAGAGAATCTACAAGAGAGGGGGATCACTCACACTCGGATAAAGAGCTCGAACTGTTGGCCTATAACACCGACATCTAGGTGCATTAAATCATGATACAAGGCCCCTATTCAGCAACTGGGGTCCTGCCCTGCCCTTGACGAGACTCCTCCGCCGATTGGGTTTCACTCGATGAGTATCCTCAGATCATCGTGTCGCTCGATCTCTGCAGACTCCCGTCGAACTCCGAGTCGATAGCATGGCCTTTCTGGTTGCCACCCATACCTCAATTGATGCACAGTGCTGATTGATGGTAGATGGTAGGGCGCCACGCGGGCCCACCCCTTATTCTTCAAGCACACGCACGATGCGTTCTGGGGTCTTGCGCGGTTCCGCTTCACTCCCCTCAATCCCCAGAACTGAGTCCGTGTCTCGAGTCAGGGGAGACGCATGATTCGTTTACAGGGCTGAAGATGCGTCGGATCTCATGGTTCACGGTAATACTAGCCTAAATCCCTGGCAAGAATGTCCAGCTGGCGGCCTTGTGTTCCCCCAACCTAATCTTGACTGGCCCATTGGAGGCGGAGATGGGAGCCTAATTACGAGAAAGGAAACACACCCGGATTCCATCTCAACAAGCCGGCTGCATCATTGCTGTGACCAGTTACCACGGCCGTGCAGGTGAGACATTTACGGTGGCTGGACACGAGCCTGTAGCGAGACGGGATTGGCGGGCACGGCTCACCGTATTTTTGACAATTCTGATGTTGGGGTGTCACAACATAACACTAGATGTCCCGTTCAAGAGGATTGGACGTAATCGACTCTCAGATCTAACCCTGGAGCGCCACTGGTATTCCACGACGTCATCGATCGTCGCGCAGCCAATCCCCCCGTCCCGACTGACTGGAGGCACAAGCAGCAAAAGCACTAGGAGCGCACTAAAAACCTCGCAATCTCGACAGGAGCAGTCTGATGGCTGGATTTCCGTGCGTACAGCCTCGCACGTATGTAAATAATGCTTCTAGATACTAACTAGCCTTATAGCTTCGATATATTGTTGAGAACGGAACGGCGCGAAAGCCAAAAAACACACGATTTTTGGACCATGAGCCCTCGTGACAACGCCAGTGGCAGCGCTTTCATGACCTGGGCCAGAGGGAGAATTAGGCCACCCGACTCTCGCGGTGGGCCAACGTGACTAGGTTGTGATGGACGAATGAGACAAAAACCTCCCTGACGCTATTTGAGCGTTTTTCTCTTGGCAGGCTTTTTTTGATTGGACAGATGCGCTCTGAGTTTGTGACCCGTCGAGCGTGCCGCACACATCCCCTTCCACCCTGCCTCTCCCTCCCATTGCCACTTCGTGCCGGGGTTTTCATCTTTGCTCGCACGCGGATTTGTTTACAGGTGTTCATGCGTACACACAATGTCTCTTGTGCGTTCGCTGCACCGGAATTCCCGGTCAAAAGGCCTCGTTTCCCCTCTCCCAATAGGGCGAGAAGCCCATCACCAAGTACCACCAGCCCGCCCTAGAAGGAAACAGATGCATTCATTACATTTTCAGTCAGGAGGTAGGTAGATGGCTCCTCTCACGAAAGATCCGTGCGGCATTCATGCACTAAAAAGGGGTCGGAACGGAAAGGGTAAGAGGTAGTGTGTCATGGTGGTGGGGTGGAGTCGAGTGGAGAAGAGCTGAAGGTCAAAATACGAGCCACAGATTGTAATGCGATTTTTGAAAGACTTGGCGGGAATTGGGGCTGGGACTTAGAGTGCGGCATCACCCTGGACGACCCACCCACACTTATGGCTCCTAAACCTAGCAACGTGGGTGACGGTCCGGCGTCCGCACGCGGGCTAGTTGGTGCGTACTTTGTTCTCTTCACGGAAACCTTATTTTTTTTTCGAGGTGGAGAAGCTAATTCGCCGTCACATTGCGCGGGCATCCTTCCCCGCCGATTAGCGCAATTAGTGGAATGGGAGAATCTCACAGGCCTGGAACATGATTGGTGGAATTTGTCTGTGCACTGGACAGTGTGACACACCTGGCTGCTGATTGGCTGAATCTCTGACAGTGGGTCTGAGACACCTTTTTCCTTGATCCTTCAACCAGGAACAATCTGTCCGACAAGGGACACAAGGATTGCACAGAAGACAGTGAGAAATCAAGTCATGGATTCTATCCGATCGAACTTCTTTATGCTGTTTTGTTATTGCTGTGCGATAGCTGTTGTCCTCCATTCACCATGCCCACCGCCGTACGAGTTGATGTCTCAGGCTAAGAGCCTCGCCCCGGTTCATTTGGTCTCCAACTAGCGTCCGCTCGCGAACTCTCATGAAGGATGCCACAGGTATAGTTAGAGATGGGTATGAAAAAAGCGAGGGGGAAAAGCGTCCGAAAGAGGCAGGGTTTCCGCACAGAGTTGGCGGACCGTTGTGGACCCCCCAAGCTGTCAATAAGCTGTTAACTCTGTCAATAACCTTTTAACATGGGGAAGTCGGAAAGTGGACAAGAAACTGGTTTGGACGACAGCAAAGCATTGTAACCTGCCACTGACGCTAGCAGTCGTAGTGCATAATGTGCACCAGTTTGTCACAACGTCAAGGCCCTCACGTCGTACAAACACGTTACAGAAAGCTCAATCGAGTGTGTCGCCGAAGCCACATGTCTCAGCTGCAGGATGGAAAAGAGTGTTGTGCTGGGATGCGACAGGCATTTCCATGTTGGAGAGGTTTCCCTCGCTGCCTCCCCCCCCCTTCCTTTCCCCTCCTGTTCTGACACTTCCAGACAGGAGGGTAGCAAGCCCTGTACAGCTACCCTCCTATCCCCAGGTGCGGTCAGGTCGCCCGAAGGTGTGGCCTGCTTTTAGACCGTCCCGTTTCCCCTCAGACTTGGATCTCTCCTCGCATTCGTTTCCATATCCCACTTGAGCTTCAGCATCACGACCAACCACAAATCATCCGGCCGGTACACAGAATGCTCACAAACACCATGTTCAAGAATTGCCTGGAGAAATGCTGGGATATTTGCCTTAGGGACAAACCGTCCATCACCATCGGCTCCATCTTCTTCATCTTCTCGATCTACTGCGGTGCGCTGGTTTGCTCCACGCTGGAGCCCAAGGTCCCCCAGATTGTCCCATTGATACTTGGTTGTGTCGTCTCCCACCTCACGTACTTGTTTTTAATCCCCACCGTCCGCGACGGTGACGGGTCGCTTCCTCACGGGAAAGTGGTGCTTGCGGTCGCTCTCTGGCTCTCGGTTGCTGGCACCACTCCCCTCCTCCGACTTTTCGACGTCACGGATGATCAGGTCTACGAGCGGACGATCCAAATAATCTTGGTCTTCAATGCCATCATTGCTCAGGTATGCGGGGGTTTGATTCCATTGCGACGTGATCTGAAGAAGAAAGCTGACGTGGGAAACTACCTCAAGGATGTTATGGCCATCTGGCTCCTCTTTCAGGCGTGGTTCAAACACCCCCAGTGGTGGTTCATCGGGATGGTGATCTTGCAGCTCGGCGTCTTTGCAGTGGGAGCCTACTCGCTGGTCAAGACCTCCTCGAGCATCGCATGGATCATCAGCCCGGTGCTTCTGCTGGTGTATTCTGTATTGATGGTCCACCTCTACCACCGCTTTGGCAGGTTCGACGAGCCGAACGGCGGAAACGCAGACAACTTCACCAGCACCAGACGTCGCTGGATACAGCGAGCAATACAAGATCCCGCAGTCTCTTTCTTGGCTCGTTTTTTCTGGCTCAAGAGGGCAGCACCTCTCATGACGTTGGTCCGGGTCGTCGTGGCATTTACCTTGCTGTCAGCGGCCCTGGTGACGTGGGGTATCATCGAGGACTGGAAACATATCTTCTACCCACAACTCTTTTTTTTGTTGTTTCCCTCCCTTTGTCCCTCTCTTTGGTACGCCCTGAGAGTCATCAAAACATCCCGATGCCACGCCCAAGGATGTCAAGACGAAGAGGGAGGAATAGAAGTCGCGAGAACAGGACCCAGACCCCTTTCTGGCGACATTAAGAAGGGGATCCATCTGGAGTAGGTGGCCCGGCACCCCTTCTTCACTCGCCCAGCTCTCGACTAACAGCTTCATAGGCAGCCTGGACCTACTGGCACGTCGCCATCCTGGAACCATCAGGAACACCAAAGTGTAGGAAGACCGGAAAACACTTATCAACGCTCAAACCCTGGCGGGTCAGGACTTCGACAGAGTCGTTCAACACATACCAATTCACTCCCACCGTAAGTTACTTGACTGAACCCCCCCGGTACGCATTACTCTGACCGTTATGTCTATAGACCACCGCCTCCGTCGCCCGCCACTGTCGATGTTGAATTTGGAGACAAAAGGTCGGGGAAAAGGTTGGAGCGCACAGATAGTCGGGCGCCATTGGTTCCCAAGAACTAAAAAGGGGGTTGACCACAATAGTTGTGTCTGGGGGTGGACATCAATCCCTGCCCACCCACGTTGTTGAGGACCCAGCTGTGCTACCCGCAAGGGGTAGGGCGCTGTGTCTCTCTTCCGTCTGCGCAGAGCCGGGCAGAAGCTCTCGAACGAGCCGCTTGCTTGACAAGCGTGATTGGCAGTGGTGTGGGAGCGAGGACAGGGAATTACACAAAAAGTTATCTTCTCACCGAGTTATTATTCTGCTATAAATTTCAAGTATAACCTCTTTGACGTGGTGTTTCGCTCTCCCAGGCCCGCCTCGACGGGTCGTGGTACGCTCTGCGTTGTAGGTCCAAGGGGGTGAGCCAAAGTAGCCTGCACCTGTTGCTCTACCCCTATCGGGAAGCTTAGCCGAATAATTTTCCACCGCGCCACACAACAAAGCCGCAGGCGCGCCAGATAGTTTTTCCATGCCGAATCAATTAATCAATCAAGTTATTCCACTTACACTACCCACGTTGATGGATGATAGAGGCTGGCTAACCTCGCTGCAAGTGCTGTAGCCTCGCTGCTGTCTAGTTGCCTTGTATGGCAATGAACCCTGGAAAGTCCAAGAATGAGCATCAGGGAAACGAGCAGATGATCTAGGCAGACCAACAATCAATACAGACATAACCTACTTCTGCGATGGAGTAATGATCCCAAGACATGCAAAGCAAGGCACTCCTCACTATGTACATACCATATTACACACTACGTATTTCAGGCAAGTGCAAGGAAACGTTGTCTCGTTGACAGGTGGTGCAGGAAAGCCTGCAATGCGAGTGGGAAAGATATAGCCAACTAATTAAGCAGTGTGAGCAAGTACGTACCTACCGTGGGGATCATCCGCGATCATCGCCTACTTCTATTTGCGGAGGAGGCCGTCACCGATCTGGCTGATGTGATGGCGTGGATCCACTGACGTCGCGTCTGAAGAGACCACACCGACCACAACACCTCCTCAAGCCGGACACAGGCGTCCATGAGACCCGGAAGTGCATCCTCTCTGATCCGCGCGGTCAGTCGTGCCATGGTGGCCTCGTCAACGCCAGGAAACCTATGTCTCTTTTCGTTTTTCAACCGCGCAGGGTGGACGGAAAGGGTGAGCTTCACTGGGCTGGGGGACGGGTGCACACGCGCAGGGAAGAAGAGCATTTACACGATGGTCTCTGCCACGCTGGGGTATACAAGGAGAAACAGCGACGAACGAGTCTGCGAGGGTCGTCCAGCGCCTGCCTGTGCATCGGCGCTCTCGCTCCATACGCTGCACTTGGTCTGTGGTTTGACTCGACGCTGGAGCGGCCTTGTGGGATGTTGATTACAACGCTGACGTCACCTAGACCGCCAGAATGGAAAAGACCTCTGTCACGTTCAGACCGTACAATGCGCAGGAGCCCGTCGGACAAGCTATATCAGCTCGACAAAGGCCGGCCAGCCTTCGTAGCAAATATGTGTGTGGCCTGCTTACATAATTTTCACGGACCTGGTCCCTTTGTGTGCCCTTCGCACCAGTACCACCTGGGACCTGATCTCTTGGCACGTTGATCACGTGCCATTTGAGACATTGTTCACGCAACAGAACCTCAACCCTTTTCAGATACTCCTTCGTCCTGCAATTTCAATCAATTCGTTAGTCTGTTGAGGTTATTCGCATCGATTAAATCTGCGATAGTGATACTGATATATCGTCATCGAGAGCCCTGAAAGGGACAATGAAGCCTGGATCTAGATGTACTGGCACCGTCAGACGGAGGTCTGATCTTTCCGAGGAGAAAGGCCCAGTCTGCTACTGTCTTCTCGTGGGTGCTGGTGAACTCATCAACCAGATGCCAGCCCCAGTAGGGACTCAGAAAGGTCGGGGAGAGCTTGTGTCTTTCTGGGACTTCACGAGCCGTGGAGCGATGCAAATTCTTGCGGCGGCCGGGGATTGGCCCTTTCGGATACCCCCAGCCCCGGTGGCCGCCAATGCTGCGAGTGTCCGTGAATGTTCCTGTCGAGATGATGAAGATGTGTTGTGTTGGTCAAAGACCTGTTGTCTTTAGTAGGCAGCATTTCAACGCTTCCGCTGCCTTGCATAATGCCGACCCCACGCCCACGTTCGTAGTTGACCTCAATGGGGCAGAAGGCCATGACGGCCCCCGTGTGTTGCCTACCAGTCAATATCCATGTTGCCGCGTCCATGAGCCAGCCCTACGGACGCCCCGCCATAGTGTAACTTAGTTACATCGGCGTGAAAGATGTATGCGCACTCAGCCTCGTGTGGGGTACACAGCCTCGTGCGGGGCTGCCAACCGCACACGCCCCAACATTTACACCTGTGGCTGGACCTCTCCAGCCACACTACTCCCCCCTCACCTAATCGTCCTCCTACCCTGCCCCCTTTCATCTTTCGCCCGCAACCGTGTTCGGCGCGGGTCTGCCTCACACCCACCTCGTTACCTGCAGCGGGCCCCCTTCCTTCTCCTGTTCGAAGCAATACTTTTCTCGCGTCAGCAATCCATCCCTCTCGCACTCCACTCTCATCACGGTCCTTGTCGTTGTAGAGCGGTAGTACACTGGGCAGGACCGAAGACAGAAATCGATGACCAACACACGCAAGCCGACCGCGATGCACCTGGCGAAGCTATCCCTCCCTGCCTGTCGCCTCTCGAGGCGGTCCTTTATAGATCTCCTCCGACCTCCGACCTCTCACCTGGCCTCTTCTTCTTCTCGATTCTCCACGTCTCGGCGGTGTTGAAGGGAGATCAGCCGCGTACCGTAGCCGAGCCTCGTAGGTGTCAAGAGGGGGCGGGGGAGGGGAAGGTGGTCGCAGGTCCACGCTGTCGGTTAAGGGCGGCGCAGACAAACGCAACGCACGCGACAAATGGAAGAAAATACTCGACCGCGTCTGGGCTTTGGGGGGCGAGAGTACCGCAGCTGGATTTGCTCATCTCGTCCCGTCACACTCCCTCTGGAGCAAAAAATGAAAGGGCTGGGAGTGGTTTGTTTTCCACCAAGCGAACGGAACGACGGGAGAAAAAGCGTCAGCCAAGAACGCGAGATGATTGAAGAACGGGCCCCCCACCAAGCTCGACCGTGGAAAAACGCCAGGTTTGTTTTCCCTCCATGGAACGCTAGATCCGTTTCCGGCCTTGGAATGCAGATCTGGTATGTTGTTTGTTGGCTAGAATTCCAGGGTGGCTGGGTATTTGCTAAACCACCGGATCGGGCGTTGGGAATTTTCCCCCTTTGCTCGCAACCATCCTTGGCTCGGTGCTTTGTTCGCCCGCCAAATGTTGCGGCATCCGATCATCACAGCTGACAGACATGTTGGCGATTTCCTGGCCGCGACTTTACAAAACCAAGTGTCGGTGTTGGTTGCAGACCGCCCGTTTCGCATCGCCCTTGGCCAAACTCTGACTTTGGCTGCTGGCGTTGGGCTGTTGGGGAGTTGGGTAGAGGGTGCACAGGTAGTGTGTTGTGCTTTGTCTGAAAGCAAAACGTTGGGCTGCAGGAAAACTCTCTGCGATCTTCTCGTCTCTTGAACAAGGCCTGACAGCATAGACTAAGTGGAGGATCAACAAGCGAATTCGTAATTTCCGACGGCACACAACTTAATTGTCGCACGGACTCGATTTTCCGTCGATGCTCATACTACTACTACCGTTATCCACTGTTCGCAATGCAGGAGTTGGCTGCCGCAAAGCGTGGTCAGTGGCATCGGAGGGTCACGAAATGGCGAATCGCGGTCGTAAGGCCGCAAGCATATGCAGTAAACGTACATTTATTTTGTCTAAAGGAGTGGACGAGACCAGGCTATTCCTAGGTCATCTATCGATATCACGTCATGTCGATCGCCGGATCTCAATCTGGATCTCAATCGGAAACTCAACCTGAAACACAATCCCGCCCTCTGTTCGGATCGACGCCATTCAGTTTGGTGATGGTCACTTTGATTAGCGAGAGTCCAGATGCATAACCTCATTCCATTTCGCATCGATCATGGCCCACACCGGGTCGCCCTCATCCCAGTACTGCTTGACGTTGTCGAAGTTGTTTCTCTTGTCGCGAGTGCGGTAAACACTGTCGATCAGACGAACGTCGGCGGTATTGCGAAGCAGTCGTAGTCCCAGTCCGCTATTGAACTCACTCATGGACGTGTTGTAGAATCGCTGAGTGTTGTGTTTGAGCTGCTGGTCGACACGCCGTGCGCACTCTTTGCTCTCCCTCAATTCACCATGGAAGGCCCGCACGTGGCAGAGATTGGAGGACGCAACGGCATCACGAAACGCTTCCACCCCTTCAGCGGAGAAGGAAGTGCGACCGAGGTCCAGCAAGTGGAGCTGCGGGTTCCGTAGGAGCTGCTTGAGCGCAGGCAGGGCATCGTCGTCGATGTAGTTGTAGCGCTGGCCGTGAGCGTGGGTAGTCATGCTAGGCGAAAAGACGACGGAGCGAATGGCAGGGTGTCCGGACAAAGCCTCGCAGATGGCGGAGATGCCGGTGCTTGTGAGGGCGTTGGACTGGAGAGCGACACGGACGAGCGATGTGTTGGAGTGAAGGGCTCTGGCGAGACGGAAAGCGCCCTCATCGCCGGTCGGATTCGTTCCCAGCATGAGCGACTCCGGTTGCCACCCTGCCTCGAGCGTCTCAGCGATGGCCTGGGCCCCCTTCACACCAATCCCGTTTGCATTGAGGAATACGTTCTTCAGAGCAAAGACCTTGCCCTTCAGGTTGGTGAATAGTCGAGCCACCCCCTCGTCGCCCAGCTCCGTGTTTTCCAGGTCAAGAGTTCGGAGGTTGCGGGTCTCCAAGATCAGTCTGGTGAGGTTGTCGATCGAGCTCGGCCCAAGAGGATTTCTCTTCAGCCAGACATTGGTGATGCTGGTGCTGTTGACCATTGCACTGACTAGTTTCTGAAAACCCGCGGGCTTGATATGATTGCCAGCCAAGTACCACGTCTCCATCTGGTCGGGCTTCTCTTTGATGAAGGAGGCGATGGC